ATAGTGTTTTGGAAAGCTCTCGAGATAAGCTACAAGAATATACAATAAAAAATGGGGGTATCCATTTAAAAACATTATTTTGACCTTGACCTGATCTTTATGATGCAACTCAAGGTCAAACTGCTAATATCGTAAAATAGATCTTTTTAAACCCTACAACTTTTGTATTTAACATTTTTTTATACAACGCTTTGTTTTCGAGATATTCAGGTGTTTCGGTATATAATATTCACCCTGTATATATATTGTTACGTCACGAGATTTCGAGAGGTCATCCAGAGAGAAGGAAGGCAGGTATTAGAAATCCGAACCTTTTTTCGTAACCTTTATCCCTTGGTCGTCCTCTTAGCCTTCTTCCTTTTCTCTTTCTTTTTCCTTTTATTATTCTATACTTCTTTGTTATTCGTACTTTCCTATTCTCCCAGTAATCCAGAAACTCCTGACATACATCATTCAATGTTATTTTACGTTTCTTATAATCGTTTCTAAGAACTAGCGACTTCTCCGACGATCGGGTCCGGGGCAGCGGCCCCAAATATTATAATCTTATCATTTTAGAAGCGGATGGAGAAGAGAAGAGCCGACTGAGGTAATAAATAACATTTTCCTTTTTTGGGAGGAAATACTCTGCTTGGTGCTATCGGGCGGCTAGGTACCAATTACCTAGCCGACTCCGATCCTAAATAAATACTGTAAAACTAATAAACCTTGTGAAGCACCGATCAGATAATCTCTCTCTAAGTTACGCATTTTTTCCGAGACTCTCCATGAATCACTCCTCCTTTTCATCCTTTTTCCCACGAACCTCATTGGTTATCAAACTTCCTAAACCTTACTCCGCGCCCCTTTTCCCGAAACTTCCATTGGGCACCAGATTTCCCAAGCCCTCCTTATCAATTCCTCAGGGAAACTATTCAGGGACTACTGGTCCTTCGATTTGCAAAATCACCCCACTAATCGACCATCCGAAGGGCTTAAAAAGGGGTCTCTCTGGCTCTATTCCCACTTCTACTTCCCACTTCCTTCTTCTCACTGGCCATCGTTGAGAACTCCAGGGCAACTCTTCCGCTGGGAAACTCCAAGGCATTATCTGCCGAAACGCTTTTCTTCACTGGCAACACCGTGGAGAACACGCTGAGGCCCTGCTGACGTTCCGGCTTGCTGATCATCAACACGATAACTCCTAAACCTGTCTTTATCACTTTCCCACGAAGGCGTTACTAGTCCTATGCCCTCGTTCATTCCGCTTCCCTATTTCCCGAGCTACTTGCTCATCGACGACGTTACTAAACCCACGTTTCCGATCTCTAAACTCCTTATTTTCTAAACCTCTTATACGAATCTCGCGAGTGTAAAATAGTTAGACCAGATTCGACCATACCAGGACAACACTTTTCTCCAGCCGCAACCAGCGCTTCGAAATCTTCTGCATCACAGAGGGAACCTGGCGACTAAAGTGAATCGACAAATAATATTATTACCCCGCGCTTATCGCCGTGCGTCGTTAATATCCTGCACTTTCTTATTAATAAATTTCCCTTTATTTTCGTACTCCAAATCACCTCATAATTATTTTTCATCGATTCTTGACCTTGCCGTGGAAGCAGAATAAAGAGTCGCGTACCTCGAGATCCCGCTAACAATCGTATTCGGCCTTTCAGCCTGCTAATAGTTTCAACGTAGCCGCTCACGTTAAAACGCGTCCTCGCGAAACTAACTAAACTCACGACTAAAATAATAAAATTCACGATACCAGGTTAGCACCAAAAAGATAAATCGCAGGACATAACAATATACAGGGTGTCCAATTTTAAAAGATCCACCTTCATAATTATTCAGCCAATTATATTCCAAGCAAAAATGTTTCAGACAAAAGTTGTCGGGTTCAGAGGGGGACATCTAAAGATGACCTTGACTTTGACCTTGGAAGTCATTCTGAAGATTATTCGAAAGTCAACTTTACTTTTTAAATAGAAACATTTATTTATTTCTTACGAAATTTTATTTTACGCAAAAAAATTAACAACTTTTGTTTAAAAAAATTTTTTATACGATCTTTATTTTCTATGGTATTTACGAAAATATCTACAAAATTATTGGAACTAATAATTTTTTACTCCAATTCTATCAACATTAGCGAAAAATAGCAAGAGATAAAAATTATCCATTTTCTTTTTATAGAGCTATGAGAATTTTTTCATAATTTTTTAGTTAACTTCTTAGTACTACATTTTCTTGCATTTTCTTGAAGTACTAAAAAGTTCATAAAATGTTCTGAAAAAATTCGTGGAGCTCTATGAGAAGATAATAAACAATTTTTATCTCTTACCATTTTTCGGTAAAGTTGATAGAATTCGAGTAAACAATTATTGAAGCCAATAATTTTGTAGATATTTCTGTAAATATCTTAGAAAATGGAAGTCATATAAACATTTTTTTCAAACAAAAGTTGTTAGTTTCTTTATTAAGAATAAGTTTCTTAGAATAAAATTTCATAAGAAAAAATAAATATTTATATTTAAAAAGCAAAGTTGACTTTCGAATAACCTTAAGAATGACCTTCAAATTCAAAATCAAGGTCACCTTCAGATGTTCCCTTCTAAAACCGACAACTTTTGTCTAAAACATTTTTGCAAAATATACGTGGTTGAAGAATTATGAAGGTTGATCTTTTAAAATGGGATGCCTTGTATATTACATATTATATTAGGTGCGCAACTAAGTTCCCTCTGTTTGTCAATAGATGGCTCCAGCAGTAAGTGCTGGTCGATTTTGACATATCCAAAACGTCATGAAC